TCTCCTCTAGTTTCCTGAATTGGCTAACTCTGTTTTTTATACTTGCATCATATTTGCAGTATTGACTAACCTTCCATGTCTGTTCCCTGGACATCCTAGCACCAACTGAATTAAATATGAAGGAAAAAAAAAAACCAACCCAGTTTTGTGAGGAAAAAATACAAGATGACCTTGAAGGGAAAACCACCAGCAGTGCACAAGCTTTTGCACTACATTGCTGAAAATCTGTAGCTTTTTACTTCACTCTTTTATGTTGTATCAGAGGAAGCAGATTTGGACTATTGATTATCATACATTATAGCTGTTCACCTCACCATTAGCCTGTAATTTTGACTGCTGCTGCTAGCAGACAGTGAAGAAAATCGAACAGCCACTTTTGTACTAGCAGCAGAAACTACAAACACAAAGTGAACTATCACCACCAATGGCCAAATTAGTATTTATGAGAAAACTGAATAAATTTAAAGGTAAAAATAAATATATAAAATAAGTCATATCCAGCACTGTACAAGCTGCACTGGAAGGGTGATGTGAACCATTGGTCTTTATCTCTACTTATCTACCTCCTGTTGAAAATAAACCCTTAACAGTTCAACTGTGTACAATAAACAGCAGCAGCCTGGAGACTTTCCTCAGTCTCTGGAGCTTTAAGGGTAAACAATCAGAAGTGCTTTATGCACTTTAGGGAGAACAAATCCTAAAATAGACCTGCTAAATTATCAACCATAGAAAGAAAAGGAAACAAACTAACTGGCATACAACAGTCACCTAGTTTGGAAATCTCTAGCAGAAAGAAAGCCCAGGATGAAGTAATGTTAGCAAAATGAAGAGCATACAACACACGATATATATTTGATCAAAAATACACTATCTCTGATATGTTGTTTGAAGCTGCAACAAAAATACAATACAATACAAAAATGGTCATTTAAGCTAAACTTAAAATGAAAAATGCACTTCTATGGTTCTTTCTTTTAATCCCTAATCTTTTCCTCACGGTCATCATAAAAGAGAGTAAAATAAAAACAGTCATTTCACCACAGATTTCTTTACAGCACAAATACATTGTACTGCAATGATAACTAATTAATGAGTGCATATTACTGACTTCTTTCATATGGCTAAAAAAGGGGAAACCATGATTTGACTCATTAATTCTTAAGTGTCTTCTTTATTATCTCAAGATGAATTTAATATAATTAAAGTTTTTTTCTCTGAACAATGATTCAGTAGAGCTAACCTAGCTTCAGAAATACTATTTCACTTTAATTGTCTCTTAGATGTCTATTTTAAATTACTTTTTATAAAAGACCACACATAAAAAACAACTGCCAAGAAATATCTTATGTGCTAGGTTTATAATCTCCAGATCATTACAGTTTGTGTCAAATTACTATCTATCATCTAATAGTGTATGTTCTTATTTGTGAGGCTGTGTGTAAGCTGACTTCAATTAGGTGTGTCTAGACTGCAGGGTTGTTGGGTTTTTTTTTTGGGGAAAAACGGCTGTTTTTCAAAAAACATTTCACTTACGTTCACACTGTTATTGCGTTCTTTCGAAGGAATATCTAAAGAATGAAGGGAGTTTTCCTACATTGGTAAACCGCATTCTATAAGGAAGAACACCTTTTCCGAAAGAGTTCTTTCAGAAAAAGGCATGTATGACGTGGAAGAGGGAGTTTTTTCTAAAGAAGAGGCCTCCAGGAAAAAGCACAGGTGCTTTGGTGGCCACATTGTACATAGTAATCACAGCTTAAATGCAAGATAGCATCCATACTGAATGGACACTATCTTTCAAAAAAGCAGATTGGTTTTCCGATGTGCTCTGGCAGTGTGGACACTCTCTTTCTAAAGAAGATTTTTCAGAAGATCTCTTCTAAAAAAGGTTCTTTCGAAAGAAGCCTGCAGTCTAGATGTACCGTTACATATGAGAAATTATATAAGATCAAACAAAACTACAATACCCTGAACACTTGAGTGAGGCAAAGAGGGTTTGGCTTATTCTGCCTCATATTTCCTAAATGATGGCTCATGCATTCTTTGCCACAAATTTCATTTTCATAGCATTTAGCATGTCTAGCTGTGCATTACCATATACGCAAATAACTGGGCTATACAAAAACACAGATAAATTGATTTTGTTACACACACACTCTCTCTCTGTCTATATATATATTTGAGTAAGTAAAGGAATAATACTTAGTTTTCTCCCATTTTTGGGCAGCAAATTAAAACATTAATAATTTGTTATGCATTCATTGTTACAGTCTTAGTGCATGCTAAATATGCTCATGAGCCTTACATATTAAAATACTTTATATTTTTCCTCTTCTTGCAAACAGCATATATCCTGGATACCCTGTCACCACCAAATTAGTGAAAGTTTTGCCACTGACTTTCACAGGCCAAGATTTCACCCCTCTTTCCTATCTTCTGTGCAGACTGCCGCACTCCCATCTACCTGTTTACCTTGTTCACTTTTATAAATGCTAAAGGTAAAAAATAGGCCCAATACTACAAATCCTTAGTGATAGGCACAGTCCAGCTGAAGTCAATGATATTGCTCTTGTGAGAAGGACTATTCAAATGAGAAAGGGTTTGAAGGCATTGGACCTAAGTTTATAGCTACCTGTTCTTAAAACAGGTGACTTTTGATGATGCACTTACAGCCCAACTCTTGCTCTTGAAATGTTCCCTTTTCTACAGAATTACATAGTGAACAATAAAAATAGGTTTTCTTTACTTTATTACATACTAGCTGAAGTTCCGAGGCGTTCCTTGGGACACCGGAGGAACAAAATGTAGAAAAACAGTAGTCCATTATCTTTTTTGAGTGGTACACAAGTTGCACTGATTTCTATAAGGATTAAAATATAGGTCTGTGTCAACCCTGGAGGAGTGGAATTGCAACCCCGGGTGGAGGCGAGGTTACACGTGGGAGGGGTGCCCCAGCTCGCGCAGGTGCCACGGGGGGTAGGGTGGGTGCCCGAGCTGTTGTGCGTGTGGGGGTCAGGGCACTGCATGCCAGCATTGGGTGGGAGGCGGCGGGGGGGGAGAGGGTCGCTTATGTATCCTCATGGGTGGGAGAATCCAGTCCTGGACAGCGCTGGGGGCTACACGCAGCAGACACAAGACCTAGGGTGGGCAGGGCGGCCCCTGCAGCACAGCGTGGCTGATTACTTTTTGATTTTTACAGCTTGAACTCAAGTCCAATTAGGTCCAAAAGCACCTTAAAACCTTCTCCTGGATGAAAGGTTATCCCATGCAAAGTTTGGTTGTGGTAGCTCTTATAGTATCCAAGTTATTAGCTCACAAACTTACAAACTTTCTCCTTTATATATTAGATCAAAAGGGAAAAGATTTGCCTTTAAGTGCATGCACACAGTTCACATTGACTTTCCTGGAAGCAAACCTCATTGAACTCTTGGTTTTGTGAATGCACATTCATTACTGAAAATGGTTATATAGAGAACTCAATAATGAAATAATAATTACAGAACTCTCAGGCTGTGTCTCGACTACATGCCTCTGTCGGCAGAGGCATGTAGATTAGACAGATCAGCAAAGGCAAATGAAGCCACGATTTAAATGATCGCAGCTTCCTTTACATTTACATGGCTGCCGCGCTGAGCCGACAAACAGCTGATCAGCTGTTTGTCGGCTCGCGCGCTAGTCTGGACATTCCCCCTGTCAACATCAAAGCCCTTTGTCGGCAGCCCCGTTATTCCTCGTGGAATGAGGTTTACCGGGGCTGCCGACAAAGGGCTTTGATGTCGACAGGGGGAACGTCCAGACTAACAGCTGATCAGCTGTTTGTCGGCTCAGCGCGGCAGCCATGTAAATGTAAATGAAGCCGCGATCATTTAAATCGCGGCTTCATTTGCCTTTGCTGAACAAACAAATCTACATGCCTCTGCCGACAGAGGCATGTAGTTTAGACGTACCCTCAGAATCACAGATATTTTCAGTCTAATTGCAAACAAAATTATACAAAGTGAAAAATCAGCAATTATTTAGGACCAATAGAACACACTAAATTTGATATACTATTTTAATATTTTGACATAAATATTAAGTATTTAATGCCTCATTCACGTGCACATATGTATAAATAGCTGAACACTTAACTTTATATATTTTTAAAAAATGAGATATCAATAACTCTCTCTTAAGAACTACAGCTAATAATTTCTGTGACCTGATTAGAAACCTTCTAGAATTGGTATGAAATTGTCTCTCATTTTTGATTGAGGGAGACAATTACCTTTACTCAAAAACACTATCACTTGAACAGACTATTTATCAGTAGGCATCTATTACAGGCAAAAAATAATGGCTTCTCTGACATGCCCTAAACACTGGGGTTATATGACACTTCTGATGAGAACAATCAAGTAAAGTACTACTTCTGAGGTTGGATTCCTGTTTAATTACAATTGCTTTTGACATAAATAAGCAGACATAAACAAATAGTTCTCTGCACATGCTTGTATTTATTAAACAGAGCTCTTTGCAATCTGCACTTTTATATTGGCTTGTCTGCTTAAAGGCTTATTTCAGTCAGAAAAGCAATTTGCTTGGATTAGAAAGATGATTGACAGTAGAACCAAAATGTATTGCCATTTTTGTAAAGTGCTTAACTCTTGTGGGCATTTCATCTGATATTACAACTATCAACACCTGAGGATTATTACCCTTATACAGAGTTTCTCTCTAGTTTTCTTAGATACAGAGTAAGGGGGAAATATTTTTAACATTGATATGGCATAAAGTATTAGAAAAGCAATTAGAAAGGTGGTGGGCTGTTAGATGTAGTCCTAGTTCATCACTGCTGTGTTAGTCCAAAAAATTGCAAAAATATTGCAGGGCTGAGAGGTTGATTACACACACGATACGTTAAAGAATCTTATATAAGTATGCTTTGAAAACTATGAAAGAGTTGGTGTCAGTCTTACATATTTTTTAGAGGCAGTGCAAAAATAAGAAAATGTATTTGTTACCTGAAAATTTTCCTTCCTCACAGCGGGCTGGTCCACAGATCCCAACAATGGGTCTTTGGCCTCTGCCTTGCTGTTCTGGAGGCAAACCAGATCTGTGAGTCACAGATAGAGATAGGCTACACCTCCCCAAAAGCCCACCAATGTGAACACTTCCTCAGCAGTACAAGGTTGTCTAAACCAGAGGTTTGGCACCACTTAGGCCTTTGAAACTCTAAGATGTGCTCATTTGAGAGTGAGGACATTAATAAGAATATTTATACTTATAAATACTGTAATAATGTGTTCCCCAAGACATCATATAACTTGTCAGTTGAAGAGCTTAAATCAGTCCACCCACTCTGCAGTGGAAGGTAAGAGGGATAGTTTCTCATGTCGCCCCAGGAACAGCTCTGATAGCTGGGGGCTGTTGGAGGAACTGTTGTCTCTTTCCTATAGCTGCCAAGCAGCTTGCCATCTGTGCACCTGCTGCGTCAGAGGTAAGGGAAGATAGAGTCTTTCTGGATACTCCACGGTACCTGCTTCCCTTCAAGAGTGTTGGAGCTCCAAATAAGCAAGTTAGGAGGCCAAGGGATTGTGTCTGAGCCTAAGGAAGTGTTTAGAAAAGGATATATACTCTCTTTCACACAGGTCAGCTCAACAGAGCGGAAATAAAAAGTAGAAAACCAACAACCAATTTTGGTTCCTTGATTCTCTGCCCAAACACCAACCCCAAGAGGCATTGGATTCTGCTTTAATTTGCTCAGCAAGGGACTAAATGCCAGCTGTGGACAGAAAGAGCACAGCACACTCTGGATCTCTCCAATCACATTACCAGGCTGCAGGGAGGAAGACATAAGAGCCAGCTGTGCCAGCTTTATGCTTGCTGAGGACTTCCACATGCTAAGGAAATCCCCAGCAGGAGACTTTTTGGGTAGTTTGCGTTGCCTGAATAGTTGGCTTAAACTGATAAATTATTAGCATTTAAATTGTGAATATAGTGACTCCTTGATGTTGACTCTCCCCCCTGCCCATCCCCTCCCAGAGCTGTTTTCTGGGGAAAAAAAGAGAAATAAGACTGTAGAAATTAATAGGGCAGATCTGTGGATCTGATTGAAAGGCTATTTTCAGACTAACTGTAGACTTTTACAAACATTATTCCAATGGGATAGAATTGCTCTAGTTTAGAAATATAATTGAGTTTATATAATTATTTACCAATAATTCATAATATTCAAATTCTCTTTTATGTTGTGTCAGATGACACCCTGATGTCTAATTTATTATACCTGGTAAATGAATAAATACGCAACAATAATCATATATATTGTGGTAGTCTTTACAGTCTGCATCAAGATCAAGATTTCATTGTTCTGGAAACCATACAAATATTCATAGTCAGTCCCTGTTCCAAAGATTTTGCAAATTAGTTAGAGAAAAGAGATAACAAGTTACAATGAGAAATAAAAGCAACGAATGGGGAGAAACAAAGATAATGAAAACATCATTATACTATTGATACCTCCTGAAGGTTCCAATGTATTTTTAAAATAACACTGCTATACCTGACTGACAAACAACAAAGCACTATTGGTTAGCTCACATTAATTATTTTTATAAACTATCAATTAGCTGAACAGATAGCCAGAAAAGGAACCTTTGGCTTTGTAAGCTGAGATACACCATCCTCAAAGTTTGGGGATAGCAAATATTTTAAAGGACATGTGTGACTACTATGTGGCACTGGTGACAGGAGACAGGATTGCTTTCTGAGGAATTCTGTCTTGTTTATATACCAGTTTCAACAGTTCTGTTGTCATTCAGAGTATGTAACCAAAACAGCTACGCCCAGCCATGTCAATGGCTCTGGCTTTCCCCAGTGGGAAATTGGAGTCCGCGCGGCTTTGTGCATGTTCAGCTGTTGGGCTTTGGAAAGTCCTCATGCAACACAGGGGGAAGGACAAATTTTAGAACAGAAGGGGGATGGGGAGTGGGGGGAGGTGAATGTCTGTGGGCTAATGATATTAGAGGTGATAATTGGGGAAGCTATCTTTGTAATGGGTAAGATAACTAGATCCTTTGTGGATCAATGCCCACAAAACAGATATCAGACAGGATCACAAAGAAAAAACAGTTTCTTGCCATTTCAACCAGAAAGGACACTGTCTCAACGACTTAACTACCTGCATCCTGCTACAAAGACCTTTTAAATCTGCACTTGAAAGGGAATCCTCTGGACTGTCATTCATGCTAAAATTCGACACTCTACATCTGAGTCTAAACAAAGGGTCTGGCCCACGAAAGCTCATCATCTAATAAACCATCTTGTTAGTCTTTAAAGTGCTACATAGTCCTGTATTTTGCTTCAGCTACACCAACTAACACGGCTACATTTCTATTACTAACCAAAGAATGTAGTCTTTGGTTGTGATAGACTGAAATCAGTAAGGTTCTGTGAAATTTGCTTATTGCAGATCAATTTATTAACATTTTTCAATAGATACTCAATCCTTTTATTCATAGCATACTGAGACTAGAAGGCATAATCTCACTCATTATTGACAAGGTGGGACTACAACCTCCCCTTTAGGTTGCAGGGCCAAATAGGCCATACCTGCACTACAAGAAAAGGAGGTATAAAAGTAGGCCCTGCAGCTCAGTTGGGCTGGAGCTACTGTGGGAGCCTGAAGAGACCCCTGGCTCTACCAAGGATTTGACAGTTGATGGTCTACTGAGATGCCAAGGAGCTGCTGAGGATGCTGCTGAGCACCTACTGCAGAGAGCTGAAGGACACCAATGGAATGGAGGTACTCATCAAGAGAAAAGTAGAAAGTAGCCCAAGGGATCTAGATGACAGTCTGTTTGGGCTTTGGACTGATACTAGGTCAGTGTGTTGCAGGCCTGCTGACCTAGTGACAGACCATTTCAACACTGTTAGGACCCTAAGCTGGGACTCAGTGGAATAGAGTCTTCTTACCTCCTGCCACTCCCAAACCTGTGGCGACATCCTCCACATTGTAGGCCATGAGGCATGCATTTGGCAGTCTTCCAAAGCTTGAATGCCTGACTGTTGCTGCTTTGCACTGACTACAGGTCAGACCTTCCTGTTTCCTGCGCCAGTCTTCCTGAGGAAGTTGAGCAGTAGACTTTACTGATCTACCCTGACTGCAAGCTAGAGCCTCTAACCAGGCAGTGCCCCACTCTGCATGAGGGCCTGGGAGCCTAGACTTAGTGCAGGTTGGCCCAGCTCAGGTGGCCTCAACTTTAAAGACAACTAATTCCCCTCTGAGTGAATGCTGTGACAAGGGTACAACTGTGAGGAGACACGGCCTCCATCAGAGATTAACAATGAGGTTTGGCCATACACACTTACACAGACACAAATACAATCTATATCCAGAATGTATATTGTAAATTTAGCTACCTGTGGACCTTCATCCCGCCAAGCGTGAATGAAATTTCCATTTCTCTCTCACTTTTGCCATTAAGCACTAATTTTACATTTTAAAATTCTTTTGCCTGACAGAGCAAGATCATGTCTTCCCTCTACAGATAAGGGAAGCCCACTAAATATCATTCTCTGTTTCAAAAAGTTAATATTCTGCTGAGGTCATACACCTTAATCTCCATGGGAGGCAGAATGTTTTCCCAATGCTATTTCTGCTTGCCAAGATTCAGCTATCAAATTGGTCATCGCAGACTTCTCCCTTACCATAGAGTAGGCTGGAGAACTCTGAAGAAACCTATCTTGGTATATGAGTTTAAAGATGCTTTTGTAGGAAGGTAGAGTAAAAAAGGAAATGCTATAATGACCTTATGTGGAATTGGCCCTAGGTCAGGATAACCAGCAGGAGACATTCATGTTGGACTAAATAACTCTATTGGATAAGATTTTAACAACTGCTGAATTTATATTTTTATTGTATTATTAGTGCTTTCAAATTAGAGATTTCCTGGATGGAGTTTTCTCTTATTCCAATTTATGAGGAATCCACATTCTTCTATGATTCTGAATGTCAGAAGAATATCATCCTTGGCTTTCTACCTGACTCGTGCTCTATTATAAGATCATTCAAGAGTGAATAAACAGAGATGTCTCTATGGCTATGTCTACACTACCCCACTAGTTCGAACTAGCGGGGTAATGTAGGCATACCGCACTTGCAAATGAAGCCCGGGAAATTCAAATCTTTCGGAAAAGGCTTTATTTTCCGAAAGATCCGAATCTAGACTGGTGCTTTTTTCCGGCAAAGCTCCGAGCCGGAAAAAAGCAGCAGCCATGTTTATGCAAATGAAGCGGGGGGGATTTAAATCCCCGCTTCATTTGCAATTGCGATGTGTCTAATTTGCATCCCTTTTACGGAAAAGGGATGCAGTCTAGACACAGCCCTAGGGTTTTTTTGGTTTTGCCGTCTGAATTGTTTGGATATTAGAGTAAAAAATAACTGGAATCTGAGACCACTAAGCCTCCTCCTTCCACCCAAGATTGCCTGCTGGTTCTAAAAGTGAAGTGACCAATGGTCTTCTGAATAAAGCATTGACTTGTTTTATTTTTCTTGTAAAGAAAAAATTAGCTTTGGCTATTAAGGAGCCAAAAGATTAAAAAGTGCCACATGTAAGTACACCATTTGTCCTTCAGTAAGAAAAACCCCATTAGGAGTTAAGCAAGTAAAAACTTAAGAGAAAGAGAATTCTAAAAGTTTTTCTTCATACTACCTGCTACTGTACAGGGCACATCACACACCAGGCTTCTTAGATTTCAGACAGGTAGTTTGGCTAAAAAGATACGACAGAGCTCTAAATTTATTTGTCAGGTTCTCGAGTTACTCTGTGCATACTGAAGATGCATACAAAGTTGTTAATTTGCTACCATGAAAGAAAAAACATTATGACATAAAAAACATTCCCTCCCTCAAAATTATCTAGTGTCTAGAGATCTAAGTATTTATAAAGCTGATATTTAGCATATGCTTCCAGTGCAACCACTACATGTATACACCTGGCATCCATTTCGATGTAAAAACAGATTTAATTGTTCCTAGTATGATTATGTGGAAAATCTCTGTTCTGGATATTTAATAAAAATAAATAAGTAAAAG